TCACACACACACACATACACGCACACACACTCAGTGTCAACTCTTTCCCAAGAGTTATGATTTTAAATTGTCTATTTTGGTCTCACCAATGTAATAAATTTTCATGTTTTGTTTTCTGCAAACGAAAGCGTGGAATAATTCTGAACTTCTACCTTAATTCCTTGTGTTGAAGTTAACACTTTATGAATTTGTCTTTGCAATTATACTGTGTAGATTAATTCTTCCTCTTAGGATTCATGGGTCCTTTAAAAATGCAGTACTGTGCAGCTAATAACCTGATGCATGTACTTGAATGTTAATGGAAGTATTTTTAAATGTCATCTCATGTGTTACAAATTATAAGTGATGTTATTTTGAAAGGTACTTTTGGTCATATTTTTATATTTAAAATCTCCAGAGATTCTCATGTTCATTTGTCAGATAAAATGGTGACAATATAAATCCTCTCCTCCAGTCTCTGTAGTAAAAATAGTAACTAAAAATTTCAAAAGGAAAAGAGTGATCTCTGGCTTGAACTATCATGTGTACACATTCTCTGTTAGTGATGAGTTTCTTTATTAACAAGTTTGGGGAACTTTCTTGGAGAAAACCTTACTCTCAATACAGTATTTTTAAAAAATGGTTATGAATCCTCTTAACTGTAAATCTTTCTGGTATTCATGTTCAGTTAAACTTTAAAACATTACCTATTACTTGGATGTGATATTTTTTACTTAGCTGTTGCTTTGTAAATGCATTAGTTACTTAAAAAGAGATTTAATGATTAAAATTATTGACATATTAAGTAGTAAAGCTTTAGAACAAGTTAGGTATATCAAACTCTACAAATACTGGCGTATTTCTCTAATATAGAAAAGCATATTACTTTTTCTTTTTTACTTTATATTTTAAAATAAGTTTTAAAATTAAATTATGTGGATATAAAAGGAAAGAAAGGCAAATCTTATTTATTGTCTGATTTATACTTAAGCGTGCTAAGTTCACTAACTATAGTCTCATATAATAGCTAAGAGAATATTATCAGCTTCAGCTTTTTTTTTTGTACCAGGGATTGATCTCACAACCTCACCCTTGCCAGGGTAGGTGCTTATGCTGCTAAGCTAAACCCCTGGCCCTGAGCTTCAGCATTTTTATCTATGAGTTTTTAAAGATTATTTTTGACTCATTTTTAACACAAATGTGCTTTTTGAAATGCATTTCTAATGTGTAATATTTTGAAACTGTTTAGTCAAAACTCAATATAGAAAACTGAGCATGCATCTTCTGTATTCAGCAATTTAAAAACTGGTTTAATGGGAAAAATCATTTTAAAGATTTGGTTTTAATTTTATGATGTCTGTATTAAAGTAGTATGCAGCTGACGCCCTCTAGTGTCACAGCTGAATATAGCCTGGTTTTTAAAACAATTTTTTAAAATTTTATATTTCGTTGGCACGTGTTTGTAGCACATAATGTTTACATGTCTTGTGTGCGGTCGGTGCGTGGACCTAATGCATCTGTTTTCATCCCCTTTCCCAGTCCTCACTCTCTTTGCCTTCATTTCTTGGTCACTGCCCCACCTGAGAAAGGTCCTGCTTCTTACTTCCATTATGACTTTTGTTGTTGTTGTTGTTGGCCTTTATTTACATTTTGGATTTCTCATATAAGAGAAACTATGTGAAACAAATTTGTGTGCCTGATTTATTTCACTTAACATTATGCTATCCTCAGTTTTAAGACAATATGAAGAATGCAATTATACAGTGAAAGCACAAGAACAATACAGGGGGCCATTTTAAAGTTGACATGTAGAACCATATGAGCTCATAAATCTAAACTGACTTCTTTATTTGTTAATCCTAAAGAAAGTTTATTCATAAGGGGAAGATGTTTGCCTTATTTCATGTCCTCTTGTTCATCTACCCATGAAGTTCTTCTGTCTACAATTACAGATGGGTAATAAGTGAAATTTGTTTTGAAGTTTGGAATCCTGGGTAGTTGTTTTCTTTTTTGATGCTGTTTATGAAAATTCTGTTTACCCCAAATTGTGCTCATTTCATATATTCCTGTTTGTTCCAAACTGGTTGATATGAAAATTTTCATGTTGACAGCTTACAACTCAATTTAAATACAGTTCTTCATAATTAGTAACTGTCACTTCTTTTTTAAATATATATAGGAAAAACAACTTATTTCTTTTCTTGGAAATATGATTCACGACCAAGGATTGGATTATTACCCATTTAAGGAAAGAATTGAATTTGAGGCAGGGGGAACTGATAATAACTCTCTATTTCCGGACTCAAAAGACCTCTGTTTCTCTCTCTCTCTTCAGTGCCCTGTCCCCAGTTCCTAAGTGATGGAATAGACAGGGCCCAAGACCATGCTGATAGGAAGGAAAAACAAAAAGTGGATTTAGAAGGTAGCTCTCCATTTCATGTGCCCGCTAAGAGTTTCAACTTAGTTATCAACTTTTCCTTGTTAGGATCGCAGTGTTTATGAACAAGTGAACCTTCAGATTAAAAGATTGTGCCTACTGCTGACCAACACAAATGTGCCCACCCCCTAGATCTGCGACAGTGGACCATTCTGATAGAAACAGCCCACTGTGCATGCATGCAGGAGGCTTGTTGCCACTGCATTGGAGCATATTGGGCTGAAGTTTTGTAACTCCAAGGATAAAGTAAAAAAAAATCCTCAAAGATTCTACGGAGGAATAATAATATGTCTGCAGCAAAACTGTATGCAAGCTTCAAAACTGGTGTTCGACTTCCTACTAGGGGTTAACAATGCTGTAAGACAATAGACTGGTTCTTTGCAAGTTTAAGGATTAAAAATAACAAATTTTCAGACTTGCCATGCTCTTCAAGTTTTATAAAGATTTTTTAGGGTGTATTATAACTAAAGAAAAATATCCAGTGTAAAACTTGTGGTAGCTGATATTGTTCATGAATAGAGGATAGTTATGAAAGGATAATAAGCACTAAATCATGATGACTGAGACCTTTTCCGAAACGGTTTTTAAAAGCTAAAGGTTAAGTGATCTAGGATTATATTTCCTTCTCTGCTTAGTTCTATAATGTTTATTAATCATGGTATGGTAATGTCCCAGTCACTTCCCATCTTTCTCAAAGTAAAATCCGAAGGCCTTATCATAGCCTGCAAGGTCCTTCACAGTCAGCTGCCTTTGCAAGCTCGTCCCCTCCCCCTTGCCCCCGAGTTCCATTCTACTGCCCAGACAGTGGCTCCGTTGCGTTTTATTGAACCTGCTGAACATTCTGGCAGTTTGGGATGTGTGTGCTGGCTGGTCATCCCCCATCCATCATGGCCCAGAGAGCTTTCTCACTTCGTGTAGATGTCTACAGAAGCGTGGCTTCCCAGGGGAGCCCCTTCCTGCATGCACTGGGACTTTCCTACTTTATTGTTTCCTTCGTACTTAATGAATATCTGTCTGTCTATCTGTATTCCATGTATTTAGCCTTCATGAAAGGAATGTTTGTCTTTTATACCTTATATAAAATTTGATAGTTTTTAATATAATTAGAAGTTGGCGAAGAAAAAATGAAAAAGTATAAAAATATGTTGACTATCATTTTGCTTACTCAAGACTTAATCATATAGAATAAAAGTATAACCACCAGAAGAATTGAAAACAGAAACTGAAGGATGAGTAGGATGAGAGAAGAAATACAGATTTAAATTGTTTTTAACTTTTATGAATTTTCTTATTTTTTATGGTTTTAATTTTGGGAACAGTCAAGTTACAAATTTTTTTGCATTTGTCTAACTCCTTTTTTTTAAAGTAAAGTTCATTGAGGTCTAATTTATATACCTTAAAATTTTCCCTTTTTAGTGTTTGGTTAAGGCATCATCAAAATTTAAGAATACAATAAACAATTCTATCACTACACAGAATTCCTTCATCCTTATAGTTCACCACCCCTCTGAGCCGATAGTAGCCACTGATCTGTTATTTCATCCTTTTAACTTGTGTCTTGTAGTATAGTTGTTTTAATTCATATCAAATCTGACATTGTTTTTTACCGGATGAATTTAGTAATTCCCAGTGTAATTATTATCAGTGCATTGAACTAAAATCTTAGTTTTGTATTGTTATTTTCCCTTTATTCTGCCTACATTGGGTTTTAGATATTTTTATAACATCTTATTTTTACTACTGGCTCACTACAGTCCTTTAAAAAATGTTCAATGGTTACCTGCAGATTCTTAATTTTTAAAAGTCAAATAATGGCTAGAAAAACATCTGTACTAAAATGTTGATATTGCTACTTTGGGAGACTGGATTCAAAGGAGTCTCCATACTTTTCTGCACCTCACTCCTCCTTTCTGTGTCTTATTCCTAACCTTACAAGAATGATTTGTTGTTGCTGTTGTTAAAATGCTGTGGGAGGAACCATAAGAAAGTTGGCAAGAGAAAAAGTAAACTGGTGGTGTGTGTGGAGGGTGAGTCAGGAAAGCAGGTCAAAAATTAGAGAGGCATGTTTGGTAAGCCGCAGATGTCTGCAGGTTGTTTTATGAACTGGTGTGGAAAAGAAGCTAATGTCCATGACCATAAAATATACTAGACCTGTTTTCAGGTGGTAAGTGTTTTATTTTGAGCCGAATAAATGGGTTTTTTTGACTTGGTCCCACCATACGTCAATTCCTGGGAACAGTAAATAGTACTATTAAAGTGACCTTTAGGCAGTTGTGATGATCATATCAGTTCTGTCCCTGTTTCCCTTTGAGCTGTGTGTGTGTGTGTGTGTGTGTGTGTGTGTGTGTGTGTGTGTGCCGGTTAGATATCAATTCTTTTCTACTCAGAATTAACTATAGTAAGATTTGTACAAGTAGGTTTTTTACAAAATGTATAATTTCAGTTTGCTCTGAATAGAGGAGGTACAATAAAAATTTTCTCTAGATTTTATTTTCTTAGAAAAGCTTCTCAGTGTTTCACTAGGTTTCATTTTACTTCTGTATCTGCTTTGTAGTTGATCTTTGACTTTTCTGTTTTTTTGTAGCTATTCAAAGGTCTTATGCATAGCATTTGAAGTACTTCAGGGTTTGCAGTATATGAATAAACATGGCGTGGTACACCGGGCACTGTCTCCTCATAATATCCTGTTGGATCGAAAGGTAATTGCCAAATGTGTAATATCATAGATGTTTGTATGCTGCTTGAAACTGTAAGCTGCTGAAGTTGGGCTCATTCAGTCAGAAAGATCATCGAATAAGAACATTTTTGAGAATATTGGTAGTGAAGAGACTCTGAAAGTGATATATGTGTGATACTGCAAAAGTCTTTAAATTACTTAAATTTTCACATGGATCATTCTTTTTTGTTTCAGAATTTATTTTCTAACTTCATATTTTCTTTTTCTTTTCATTTTTTCTAAATAATACATGTATTTTTTCAACGTACTCTTCTAAGGAAGCTTTTCTCACCCTCTGCAGAGGAGCGGGTTTATAAATGCAGCTGCATCGAGTTTCCTGTTTCCCTCTTCCTTCTTTGCTCTTTCATGTATCGTTATAGCAGCTGATCATAATCGTCTCCCTTCGGTTGACCTGCTGTTTCTGTAGCTCATATCTTGTAGAAGATTCCTAAATTAGTAAGCCCCCCTAAGAGAAATATGCATATGATGAGGTACGCTGTGGATAATCATGATTTTATTTTTTATAAGCATATTAAAAACAGCTTTGAGGACTTGTTTTTCCAGGGGAATTATCTTCAATTTAATCATTGTCTGAAACTTTAAAGTTTAACAATCATAGGATGTTAAAATCATAAAGAAAATGATGTTTATTAATTTCAGATTTATGACAGTAAAGTATCTTTGTCACAATCAACCTAAATTGTTTTAGAATATAAATGTTTTATATACTGGAAATTTTAAAATTCTTGTTAAAAGGCAAATGAATTTTTAAATCAAGTTTAAAGAAAACATTAAAATATCTAAAAATAGAAAACCATGAGATTCAGAAAATATATCCTTTTGTTTAGGACCTCACACTTATAATTATTGTTATTCTCCAACTGTATAGCAGTTATTAGAAATCTGGCATGTTTACCAAAATTTTGATGATTTTTGACCTGAGCTTTTCAGGTTAAGAATTCCTGTGTCACAGTTAAATTATAACATAAATGGACTTTCATCTCCCTGAAAAACAGTCCTTTTAAAAGTTACTAGGAAACATTTTAACCAAGATTTCAATACAAATGATAGCATTTTGTCCCTTTTCCTTTGTCAAAATACCTGGATAACACAAACAGAAAAAATTTCATGTGATTTAACATATATGTACATCTATATACATATATATATATGAGCATATATACATCTATATATATACTTGTAAACCCATGCATATGGTAGTATGAGTTTGAAATAGAACTAAACATTGACAGATATTTTTGAATAAAACTATGATATTTTAAAAATCTTTCATATAATACTTTGATAAAATAGTCTTATATAATGGGTGTTTTTTTAAAATATAATTTTCCTTGCTAGTTATATTAAAATATCTCATGATTTTTCCCCTTTATTATTGTAGGGGCATATTAAATTGGCTAAATTTGGGCTTTATCACATGACAGCTTATGGTGATGATGTTGATTTCCCAATAGGGTAAGATATGTTTTCCTTTATTTTGAGTTTTATTTTAAATTACATGACCTTTGATAATATACTTGTTTTGTTATTATTTTGATAGTTGTTTTGACATGAAAGGAGATTTTCCTTATTAATACAGCTTATTTTTTCATACATTTATTAAAATGTAGGCAAGAGTGTTTCCCAATGTTCCAAAGATCTCTGTTGCTTTTTCACTGAATGGCAAAAAGGATAACAGATAACTGATGCCACTTCCTAATAATGATTCACTCAGAATTAAGATAGGGTTAAGGTGGAGAGACTAACCGGATTCCTAATAACAGCACGTGCACCAAGAGATGGAAACGTGCCGTCCTTGCATTATTTTCAGCTCCATGTTTTATGCTTAACTCCTCATTCCCATCGTATGACTGTATATTACATTTTGAGTTGAATCACTATAGAATTCATACTTGCTTTTTGACCTGACTCTCAAAGAGTTATAGTAAATGTGGTTGCTACTGCGTCCACATTTTATTTAAATCAATTTGTATAAGAGTGAACTGTAGCTGGCCGTGGTGGCATATGCCTATAATACCAGCATTCAGAAGGCTGACACAGGAGGATCCCTGTGAGTTCAAAGCCAACTTGGGCTATCTAATGAGTTCAATGCCGACCTGAACTACATAGCAAGATTCCATCTCAAAAAAACATCAGCAAAAAAGAACAAACTCCAAAAATATAACACAAACAATAATTACTTTAAGATGCTTTAGAATTTCAGCATTTTTGAAGAACTGCATTTGAATTTCAAATGCTTCGATAGCATTGGTCCAATTTTGTCTGAGTTGCTGAGAAGCCTTGGAGTCAGAGGAGTGTACAGAATTTATCAAGAAGCAAAATGTGAAACGTTAGCCAGGAAGAGGAGTGATCAAACAGCTCAGGCATGAAAGAAAATATTTACACCGAAGAAGCTTGCAGTTGATTCAAAAAATGAATATTATATAACAATAAGTAAAGTGTTACCATCTGTTTTAAAATGCTATAAAGCATTAGAAACTGGGCACTAGTTTAATACTTTTTTAAACAGCAAGCAGAGGACGACAGTCACTGTTGACCTCGGCTCTCCCACTCCCCCGAGTCCTGCTAACTGCCTCGCAGCGCAGGACGCTGTGCTGGGGAAGGGAGCGGTGCTGAACACAGATGAGCGACCCTGAAGGATGCGTCTAGCGATTGTTCTTATTAACTGCTACTTTCAGTGAAAAGGAAAAATGAAAAGCGATGAAAAGGAAAGCAGCAAGGTGTGTTAGGAGGTTTGATACAGCAACTTACTGTAGCGTTGCTTGGCTCTTCCTGACCTGTGCTGTCACTTTACGTTAGATGTGCCAGCAATGAGAAATAATAGTTTACCTTCTGGCTATAGTACTGTGAAACTGATAAAAGGACAATATTATACTTGTGTTATGACACAAATATAATAATATAGCTGCTAATATTTATAGTAGTTTTGTGTGGTTAGCATTATTATTCCTGTATTACAGATGAAGAAAATAAGGTCTCATGAAATTAAAACATACTGTAAGTATCACATCTCGTGTTTTTCTGTAAGATGTATTTCTAGCGATTTCACATGTAAACTGTTAATGATAATTTTCACTTAAAACTCATTCTTGGTATATATTTGCATTCTTTATACCTTATGCACATTTTTGTATTGATTCAGTGTTAACAGTCTTAAAAAAACACATAATGGTGGTGGTGTGAAGAAATAATCAGGCTATGTATTGCTAGTGAAATATAGATTGAGGCCACCTCTCAAGGGGCAACATAGTAGGAATTCCACAATTTAAAAAGTGCATTCCTTATACCATGTATTATCACTTCTATGAATTCATTCTGCCATCTATACATACATGTGAGAGACAGGATATTTGTAATATATTTCTTTCAGCATTGTTTGTAATAGCAAAAGAAAAGAACTTTCTAAGTGTGCTTTAGCAAAGTGCATTAATACAATTAAATTATTATTGGCAGTATTTCAAAAAGAATAATGCAAATTCTACACTTTGAAAGAAGGATCTCTAAAATATACTTTAAGGGAAAAACTATGGTTTGGAGCAGTGTGTACAGTGTTGTATGTGGCATACAGGGGTATGTAAACAAGTTTATTAGAGTGATGTGGGTACAGACGTGGAGTAATGTATGTGTGTATACACATAGAGACACACACCCATATACAGTTTATGTACATATATATATATACTATTCACACACACAGATATGTATATATTGGCTTTGACATTTTTGCTACCCAATAATACTGTTTGGAAAAGTAAAATGATAAAATAATTCAGTATTAAGAGAATATAGTTTGTAAGGAGAAAGGAAAAACAACTGGAAGCCTAGAGGACTGCAAGCAAAGTGAGGTACTGAAAACTGCAAGAAAAGCAGGCGCAGCTAACGCTGTGCCGCTGTTAGCGCTGTTGAGCTGCTTGACGCTCCGGTGTGTTCTCAGTGCCTGGTGTAAGGCCTGCGTCTGGACGGTTGGTTTATAGGTCTGCCCAGTAGCAGCTGTAATGTGGGTCATAAGACTTTCGCGCAGGTGTGTGACACTGACAGTGAAGCTGCACTGCGGCCTCGTTACCCACCGTAGCGGGAGTAATGACCTGTTACCCTACTGTGTCATCGTAGGTATCCATCGTACTTGGCACCTGAGGTGATTGCACAAGGAATTTTCAAAACCACTGATCATGTGCCAAATGAGAAACCATTGCCTTCCGGCCCCAAATCAGATGTGTGGTCTCTCGGGATCATTTTATTTGAACTTTGTATGGTATGTATACAGAAATATGAAACTAGTAAAAGATGTTTACTGAGATAATTTGGGAGAGGAAAGTTATTTACTAATAAAACATTTTGTTGTGCAAATAATAAAAGTCTAACTTTTAAAAATCCACATTTTTACTAGTGTAAAACCATTACACTTTTATCACATATAAATTGTGTTAGAAATAATACGCTAGAACTGTTACACTTTTTTTGGCATATGTTATATGTGCCTGATCTTCCTCCCCTTTGGTATTATTTCCTTCTTTCCCTTGTATTTCCTATAAACTCATTTTTATAAAGCTTTTCCCAGATATCCTATGTGTTATTAAACCCTCAAGCTACTGTTTAAAACACAGTACTTTAAAACACAGATGCTTGTCTCCCTCATGTGCCAGCCCAGAGCAGGTAGCACAGGCTCTGCTCCGTGGCACTGGCTAGAACCCTGGGCCTTCGGGGTGGTGGCCTTGCTGTGTGCAAAGTCTGGCTGCCAAAGGTGCTGTCCTTCTCTTCTCAGGCTGGGGGCGAGGGGAAGCGCGAGGTCAGGACCACGGGCTTTGGGAAGACACGGGAAGTGCTGCAGATAGGAATTCTTCCCCCTAGTGCAGGTTTACTCCTGAGGCTGCTTTAATCACAAGGGAGGTCAGGAAGTGGATCTTCAGGAGGATATCATTTGACTATGGAAAGCAAGAGGTGGGGTTGGAGGGTAACTCGGAGCCTGTGGAACCTGCCTCCAATCCACTGCCTCCAATCCTTCTCTCCTCCCCTTCTCAGTGGCATTGGTCACATTCGTCTACTCCACCTACACTACATGGTCTTCAGAGGCAGGATTTTTTATTTTCCTTATATTATTTTTATCAGCCAAGTAATTTTCTAAATAGTTTGCTAATTTTAGCTAACTCATTGATCTTTGCCATTTCCAAAAATTAGGTGTTGTGTGTGTGTGTGTGTGTGTGTGTGTGTGTGTGTAAGAATCATTATAGTTTAGCTCTCGAATGTCCCTCAGAAGCCTCATGTTTTGAGAGGTGGGGCCTTGGAATGTGACTGGATCATGGGGAGCTGTGCTCATGAGTGGATTCATCCACTGAGACACTCAGAGCTCAGCGCAGTGTTCAGGGGTGGGGCGTGCAGGACGATGTGGGTCACAAGTGTGTAACCTGGAGGGGGCACTCTCCCTTCCTGTCTCCTATTTTTTTTCAATTCTACTTCCTGAGCTCTGTGAAACACAAGCAGCTTTCCATGCCAGACCCCTCCCCATACCCTTCCTGCCTTGGACCCAGCTGACCATGGACTGAGTGCACAGGCCAAAATAAACCTCTCCTCCTTAGGTGGTACGAGAGACAAGACAGTGACTAAGGCAAGAACTGATTCAACAGGAAACACATTACAGAGTGATCACAGACAAGCTTCTGGAGGAAGAGAGAACTGGGTTTGAAGCCTGTTATTGCAAGTATAGCTTTGTGACATTCAGTAGTACCCTAGCCAACTTTCTGTTACTGTAACAAACACCTGAGATAATGAATTTATAAAGAAAAAAGGTTTGTTTTGGCTCATGGTTGGGCCTGTGGCAAAGCAGTGTACCATGCTGGTAATGTATGGAAGAGCAAGCTTGCCCATCACGGCTGAAGTGCAGAGCTGAAAGAGGAAGGGCGAGTCTGTCTCCTTCAAGGGCACACTCTGAGCAGAAGGCCCCCCAGGGTGGCAGGTCATTTCTCAGCAGTGCCAAGGGGGGCAAGGTCTTTAGCACAGGTGAGCCACAGCCCAGACCGTGGTCCGGGACCACTGGGAACTGGGCTGTACAGCAGGAAGTGAGCAGCAGGCTGGGAGCAAAGCTTCAGTGTGTCTCTCCCCGTGGTGCCCTGCCACTGAGCCCGCCTCTTGTCACATCAGCGGTGGTACCGGCTGCCCACAGGAGCACTCATGTGCATCACTGTGAGACCATCTACATACATCCAAGGAAAGACAGGAAACCAGTCCCTGGAACCCAAAAGGTTGGGATCCATTCCCCTAACACATGGCTCGTGGCAACATTCCAAATCCAAAGAGCAGCAAGGAGTAACCTAAGTTTCCAGACCTCACTCTGCTTCTGTGACTAATATCAGTATCTTTTACTACAAAGTTGTTGGAAAAATTAAATAGTATGATGCTTATATAGAGTACTTAGTAGTACAAGTATTACAAAGTATATTATCCATAATTACTTAATTGAAATATTTACGATGTAATGACTTACATATGTGTATTGAATTTTGTAAAGAAAAATAACATATTTTCTTATTTTTCACTATGCTTTAGACCACCAAACTTGATGATAAATATCATTGTTATTAAAATCACAAGTAAAATGAAATAATGTGAAGTATACTTTAGTGTAAACGTGAAGTGCACAGCTTTTTTTTACTAATCATCACAAATAATCTAAACTCTTTATTAGAATCTGGATGTATCTTATATAAGCAGTTGAGTTCAACAGATATGGATGAATATTTGCCGTGTGTGGCATCAGGACAAATGTAATGAGGGGTTAAGTTTAACTAAGACATCCAGAGCTCAGAGTTAGATCAAAATCTATAAACTTTGAAGATAAACGCAGAGAGCTGTGTGAGTTTAAAGCAAGAGAAGTCTAACTTACTTTTGGGGCTGCTTCATGGCATTTTAGATGGTACTCGAAGTTTAGGCATCTAAGTTAGGGATGGCAGCCTAAATGTAACTTCAAATTGTCTTCTGTGTCTTCAGACTCTTTCTTTTGATGCACTAAAAAGTCTAATAAGGAGCATGCTAAAATCATTTTTGCTAAGAAGCACTTACCTTATCACCAAAGTTTAGAAAACTAGAGTTTGAGGAGAAAAGTGTTATACTGTAACATGTTTTAGATAAGCTATACTATAATTTATATTATTAAAATAAAGAACATAGTGAATTGGATTATAAGAAACTGGGAAAACTGAGTTGAGTGTGAAATTGGGTAATTTTTTCCAAACTTGGCACAAAGAGACTGACAGTGTAAAATTTAAAAGGAAGATACATTCAGATGTTGTAACATCTGCATTATAAGAGTATCAGAAATAGTAAAATCTTCTATTTGAAATGCCTTTGTTTTAATGGAAAAATGAAAACAACAAAGAAAATACCTAGAGAAGAGCTGAATCCTAGCACTCTGCTGGGCTGAAGCAGGAGGACTGCAACTTTGAGCAGCGCCCCCCCCCCACCCCGCCGTAAGCCAGTGCTGTAGGAAGCCCCTGTCCCAGAATTAAACATATGAAGAAATGGGTGGGGAAGAAACTCAGGGTGCGCCCTGGGCTCAGTACCCGGTACCAAGATGGGGAAAGCTCACACACACGCAAGAACTTGAAACTGCCATTTAGAGAGCACTTATGAAAAGCCAGGAAGCTTTTTCATACCTTTCCATCCATTTTCTCAGTGATCACAGTGGTCTTATAAAGTTTATTTTATTTTTTATGCTCCTGTTTTTTATTAGTGCGTGTTTGGGGTGCATAAGAAATCTCTTCCTTGTGGGGAATTGGTATGAACACATTCTCACTGTCTGTCCTTTCCCCTTCCTCGCCACCCCCATCCTACATCTCCAAATCTCCTTCCCATCTCCAAGAGTTTATCTCTCTGTTTCCTATCATCTGGCTTTCATTTTGATGTTGAACTGATTTATTCTTTGGATTTCTCATATAAGAAAGACCATGTGATATGTAGGCTTGCATGTCTGATTTATTTCATTTAACATTATGGTTCCAAGGTGCTTCCATTTTCGTAAAAATGACTCAAATTTATCCTTCCATATGGCAGAGTGGTGATCCATTGTGTGTAAATACCACATTTTCTTTGTCTGTGCAAGCTGATGACGGAGACATAAGCTACTTCACAGACGGAGCTATCGGGAGCTGTGCCGCTGGAAGCATGGAGAGGCTGGATCACAGTAACATCAGTGATGCTTGCACTCTTGGGAAGAGATCAGAAGAGGCAGTGCTGAGTCAAATGCAGTTGCTAGTTTTAGTGTTTCTAGGAATCTCATGTTGATTTCCACAGTGGGGGTTCTCGTTGACGCTCCCCCACAACAAGGTAGAAGGGTTCCCTTTGCCCACAGCCTTGCCAGCATTTGTTTTTGAGTTCTTGCTGATGCCCATTCTTTGTGTAGTGAGAAAATCTCAGTGCTGTTAAGGTAAAAAACGCTAAACATTATTTATATGCTGGTTGGCCTTTTGTACTTCGTCTGGCAAGTATCTGTTCATTTCAATTGCCCGTTTTTTGTTGAGTCTTTTATTTTGAGGATCTAGTTATTTTGAGTTCTTCATATAATCTATATGTCAATCATAGCTAGCAAAATGTTCTCCATTCCGTAGCTTGTCTTTGCTTAAAAGATTATCTTTGCCTTACAGATTAGGCAACTGGATTTCAGCAAGCCTACAGTCTAACTCACATCTGTATGTAGTTGAACCAAAGTGTACCTTTTCATCTGCCTTCAAAGCTACACTGTTAGCTAAGATACTGAACTTCTAAGCTGCCACATTTTTATTGATGCTCCAGAGAAGACCTTAAGCCTACTAAAAAGAGAAACAATATATTGGTTATAAAGAAGGACACTGCACTTCCTTTTAGCAGTGTGAATACAAGAAAGCAGTGAGAAAATGCCAGCAAAGTTCTGGGAGAAATTATCTTGAACTTGAAATTCTATAATTCATTAATAGTCAAGAGCAAAAGTGAAGTACAGAATGTATAGAATTTTGACAAATGCAATGAAAAAGTATGGTTAGAAAAAATAACAATCTAAGCTTTTAGGCAAAATAGGCAAGAGTGTTTTTCATATCACATGTAACCTAACTGCTACGTTTTGTGTACGTGTGTGCGCGTGCGTGTGTCTGTTGTCATACTGTAGAAGGACAGAAAACAATTAGACTTAAAAAAATGTATGGGAGCCATGTGGTGGGAGATTTGGAATGCAAAATTGCAATGTTTATATAAAATATGAGTGGACCACTAAAAAGTTTTTAACAAGGAACTGGTGAAGTCAAACCTACATTTTTTAAAACAATGAAAAATACTATGAGAGATTAAGGAAGAGAGGAATGCCAGTTTATTTCAATCATCTCTCTGCCCAAAGTGCCAGTCTTAAGATTTAGGAACATTTTTTCCCTATTACAAAACAAAAAGGCTCTTTTTCTCCACAAAAGCAGTGAATTATCTTCTTAAATCTTCTCCTCCTAAGTCTGTTTAAAATATGATGTAAGTTTATAATAGGAGTAGCCAACATTTGTAAAACATTTTCCACTTTATATAATTCTCACTACTGTATAAGATATGTATGATGAATATTCTAGTTTACAGATGAGTAATTTGAGGCTCAAGATGCTTAAAGTCATTTAGTTATATAGTCATTTAGTGATGCAGGAGTCCAACTTGGTACACAATTGTTCAATACATAGTTTTTAAAGTATGTGGATTTAACTCTAGACTCCATGCCAAGGAGCCCCCTGAGGCAAACTGTTAAGTAAACAAAATATGTGTATCTTTAAAAACATAGCAAATGCTCTAATAACCCAAAGATGGTTAGCTGGCCTTACGGTGGGTAGAATGAGGATGTCATGGGTTGTCTCCCAGTGGAGACAGTAGACTACTTGAATCTTGATACTAAGTAAGCAGACTTGGGTAGAAAAAAGGCTAATACAAATCTTTCTTAGGGACATTTTGTTCGCTTGATGATACAGGGCCTCTGGTGGCCTGGAATACCAGCAGACATCTAAGTATGTGTGAGCATCACCAGGGAGTAATGCCCGAGATCAGACTACCTCGCAGGTTCCTTGGACGTGCTGATGCTTAAGTATTATGAAACTCTGTAAAATACAGAGTTTTTTCCTTGGAAAATTATTTTTCCAATAATTTTTCCTCGATGAAGCTGACCTTCAGAATACAGTAAAGCCCCTAGAGATAGATCAGATCAATTGATAAGACCAGTTTCAGCATGAAAATAAAGCACTCCCCCCAGAAATCTAGGTGTAAATATTAACAAGAACTTATTTTCTCCTTAGGGAAGAAAATTATTTCAGAGCCTGGATATTTCTGAACGTCTGAAATTTTTGCTTACTTTGGGTAAATGTTATATAATTGATTCTCTTTCAATTTTAGTAACTGTTAGTAATTATACATCATGCGTCTGTCTGAAATAGTGAAGTCTCCCAGGTCCTTCATGTTTGTAATCATCAGTGGTGAGCATTAACAGGACAACTGACATGGTGTCTGAACTGTTATGATAATATGCAAAATATTATATAGAACTTTCTTGATTTATTAAGGAATTTCACTTGGATGGAAATAACAATTGGTTTCATGATTTAGTCAAGTAAACTAACGTACAATTTAACTATGAAAATATGAAACTATACATGTCTGTAGCAGTTCAACATCAGACAATGTCTTAACTTTTGTCCTATTTGAGTGTGAATAACAACTTGGAAAGAATGATTTTTTCCTCATAACATGTTCATATATTTTTTTCATGTGTTTGGAATTCATTTTAATACAAGTTTATGTAATCTAGAGTGAACTAAGTTAAATATTTGTGGTAATAAAGGAAAAGGAGAACACTTTCTATAAAAAGTGGTAGGTTAGTATGCAGATAAGATAATTTACAAATATGAATACCAACAGAAAAGTCTTAGTATATAAAATTATAATGGATTATAAATAAAGTTGCATAAAACTTTACCAGATTAATTACATTTACTTATAAGTGTATAAGTATGAAGATGTTTTGGAGATTGCTAAATACGGTTCATATTAAACTTTCAATTCCCCGAAAAAATTGTGTATAATCTCCAAATTACTAATAATGAATGTTAGTCTTATCATCTTGAAAAAATAAAGCCTTTGAATGTCTTTACCTCTCTGAATTATTCTTTCAAGATGTTATTTTTAGTACATACGATTAAGTAATATTTAGTGTTTGAGTAATGTTTAGTGTTTGAGTGTAAGGAAAGTAAACAATCACAGGTGTTTTTCAGTGTTCCTAATACCCAAACTGCACTATTGTCTAAAAATTTGGACGAGCATTTCCCTCCTGATATTTAATTAGATGAAACTGTTGCAATAGTCTGGTAGAGTTTTAAGGGCTGTGATTATTCTGTTTGCCTGTTTGTAGACTGTGTCGATGACACCGTAACAGTGCTGGCTGAAGAGCATGGTTGTCTGGACATCATAAAGGTTTGTTATAAATCTGCCTGACTTTGTTTATGCTCCTCTCACTGGACACATGTACCTGGTGATTCCTAATAAAAACTACAGCATTTGCTCCCAGCTTTGCATGCTGGGAAGCTCGGGCTGCAGGTGCCTTCTGGTTCTTTTGTCTGGTGTGGCTGCCTGCCTCGGGGGGTGGAAGGCTGCTCACAGGTGGGCGAAGAGAGCTTGAGCGGGGCGCGGGGTGTAGAAGGCTACTTTTCCAAGGGCTCCATCCAGCCGCAGGCACAAGCCTCCACCTCTCACCACCACCCCTTCCTGTTACATCTCTGCACCTGCACTTGGAGGAGTCATAGTCAGACCATATAAATATATTAATGATTGACCCACTTGGGGTCCAACAGCAAGCTATTTAAACTATGCCTAATTTTCTTTAGACACTTGCTTTTTCACAGGGTGACAAATAATATATTGTATAAAAGCCAAATACTGTAAGATTTTTTTATTTTTTAATCTTCCACAGAGGGCTGGGGACTCAGCTCAGTGACATAAGTGCTTGCCTGGCAAGCGTGAGGTCACGAGTTAGATTCCAGTACCAAAAAAAAAACTTCTAGAGAAACAGATATTTGTGTAGTATATATTTAGAAACTAGATTGTGTAAGTAATACTTTTTTCTCTATTTATCAGGAGCTTCCTGAAAATGTGATAGATCTTTTGAAGAAGTGCCTGACCTTCCATCCATCTAAGAGGTTGATATTAAAACTTTGAGATAACACTGACATGCTTTATGTACAGTTGATTTTTCCCTTGTTCTAATACTAGTGGATTATACTTACATATGTAAGTATGCTTACATATGTATTAGTACTTAATTCAGATCAGTATCCTAAATCAGTGATTTAAGACTTTAGCTTTTATTAGTAAAATATAAAGTAATGAAAGTTAAACCATAATCAGAAAACTGACATATGTCAAAAGAAAGATGTTAGTAACTCATTTTCTAGCCTCCAACTAGAAAACCAGCTAAACTGTGGAATATTGCTATTTCTAGACCCAATGACATCAGAGAAATGAGAACAAAACTTCGTTTGGCATTGTGTGGGCTTTTTTGCAGGGGTGCTAGGGACTGAACTGGCAGCCTCGCACATGCCAGGCAGGTGCTGTGCCCCTGAACTGTATCCCAGCCCCAGCATTATGTATTATAGCAGTAAGCTTGGTTAAATGCTGAGACAGCTAATGACTGATAATATAAAAGGATTTCTTAAAAGTTTTATTTATTTTCATTCCATTCTGTCACTCTAAGTTTTATAAATACTCCTAAACTATTTACATATATGATGTTTGAAATAATATAAGGTAATTGTCTTTAAGGGGATAACTTCACCAAGAAATTTTAGGGACAAAAAAATGGTATTAAAACATGCTTTTGGATAACTATAACACATTCAATCAAAAGGATAAAAAGGAAATTTTAGAGTGTTAGATTAAATACTCACATAAGACATTCAGTAAAAACACGTATGTGCAAGTCATGTTGAAAGTAAAAATGCAAAATGTGTTGTAGAATGACTTCTATTCATAACGTACAGAAAGAACAACAAAATTAAAAAGTAATTCTGTGTCCACAGTAATTCAGTTGTAATATAAAGATGCACTCAAATATTTTAGTCTGCCCTTATCCTTTCCTTTTGTAGATGGAAAAAGTTTCAGAATTTCCCTGCTTTTCTGTTCCAATTTTTATTAGTACAGGTTTGTAATATACATAATTAGATTCAGCCTGGAAAGTTGGTACATGTACATAACATATTTTAATTCTCATTTATCCCCCCCCCCACATTTCTTGGTCCCTTCCTATTGACCAAGTATCTATCATTCTGTTCCCTATTACCTGTCTCTTATTTTGCCTTTTAATTTATTTAGCTTTTCTTGCTTTAGTTAGTAAGTAGTTTATAAACCAAAGTTGAGGAGTGCTTTGTTATTTTCTGTGGTAATGAGATATTTAAGATTTTTAGCATCCTCTTGAATGTGTGTCATTTTTCTAGGAAATATTTTATAACTTGTTTACATGCTCTGTATCTTACATTGTTTCTCAAGGCCAACCCCAGATGAACTGATGAAGGACATAGTGTTCAGTGAAGTGTCACCTTTGTACACCCCCTTCTCCAAACCTGCCGCTCTGTTTTCGTCTTCTCTGAGATGTGCCGATTTAACTCTGCCTGAGGATATCAGTCAGCTGTGTAAAGGTAATGAGAAGTAGAACATAGGCAGTAACCTCATCCCTGCTTCCCTAGGAAGCTGCCTTCTCTTAGTTTTGTTTTGAATTTGTCAGCAATATTCTTACATTAGTGGGCTCTCTTGGGAAATTGTTTAAGAATTAAATGATTCTAGAAGTGCTTGAAAGAAAACTTGCCTCAAATTGTAAGTCTCAAACTTGCCTCAAATTTAAGTTACTAATATTCTATAAATGTTTATTATGAATAATGTCAAAATATCATATTATTGGTAGGATATCCGTACCATCATATTCTACCTGTTGAAGACAATAGGTTTTCATTCTTAGATGATGATTCCAACTCTCACAGGTGTGCATGAGTGACACCAGTAAGTTACCATCATACTGAAAAGTTACCGTGACAGTGAAGCAGAAAGTAAAGTACATGTACGGTTAAGTACTGACTGGGTTCCTGTGGGATACCACACACTGTGCCATTACCGTCCATGTGACATGGGAAGGCAGATTGCGCATGATCTCTGTCTTAGAAGTAGGTCCGCAGGAGCGCTGCACCTTGGGAACAGCTGAAGCTCTATGATTCTGCCTGCGACACCGGAAACCCAGCTTAGAGAGGCAGCCGATGCCTTCGGCTCTGTGGGATGGATGGACAGCTTGGTGGCTTGCCCACTCCAGTGCTTTTTCTGTCCTTGATCCTTTCCCAGTGTAGAGAATAAAAGTTCCGGGTTTTCCTCTTCTTGGCTTCTCTCGCTGTAGTAGGAGGAAGGTTTCTATGCTGAAGTTGACTGATAGGACCTAAATGGAAGTCTGCTCAGTGTGAGACTTTCTTCTAGAAAGTATTTTCTTTGTTACCATGAAAGGTGCTTCACAAAGGAGCAATTCACCTTCTGTTTTGAATGCAGGAAATGGGTCTAGAAATTTGACACACTTAGGCCCCTAAATGAACTTTATTGCATAAGCCACCTATTATAGGACATCATTTTTCAGCTGGGAGCATTCAGATTATAACACAGAATGAATTGGAGTCTGCTGGTTGAGGCCCACCCACCTCTAGACAGAGAAAAGGATGCCCAGCCCAGTTCTGTCTGACCGTCCTGTCTACCTGAGGGCAGGAGACAGACTCCCCGTGGTGAAGAACCCTGATCACATGACCGTAAGATGCCTTTCTTGCCTGGGCTGAGTCACCTCAGAAGGCTGGAGCTGCTGGAGGCGGGCACTTCCTTCGCCGGCCAGTCAGGCTGTGGCCAAGCAGCTTCCCTGAGGAGCCTGGTGAGGAACAAAGTGCTGCTCGTCCAGTGGTTCCTTGTCTTCCTCCTTCGGCCAGAAACACAAAGATACTTTCCTGCAGCATTTACCGTAAGCAGCTGGCCAGGCCCCAGAGGTGACTTCACAGAGGAGTGGAGGTCCTCCGGGACCGGGCCCTGGAGTTTTAGCTCTTGGTCTTAGACCCTCTGAGCCTCCGGCAGTTTGGTGTTACAGCTCAGTTTCTGGGCCTGACTGCTCCGGAGGTGTTTTCTGCCCTCGCAAGCTGTGCTCCCTGTACGCACCTGTGTTTCTCGATGCTCTTGGGGGCAGTAGCTCTCCCTGTGTCCTTGCCTGTCTCACAGACTTAAGAAGAGATGTTAAGCCAGAGGCTTGGCTGAGTGGCATAAGCGCCTGCCTGTCAAGTGCGAAGTCATGAGTTCAGTCCCTGGTCCCCAAAAATAAAATGAAAGAAGAAGAAGAGATGTTGATCTGTTTAGCTTTCTACTTGCTAGGTGCAGTGACAGCTTCCAGACTTCTTACATGCACACACAATTGTAACCAGACTTCTACGCTTCAGGTTGTTACTTTTTCAGAATGTCAGCTATCACTGCCTGTTGAATTTTAATAAAAACGGAAGTTTTCATTATGAATTCTTTTTTTAATTTGCCATTAATAGATACAGATACAGATTACCTGGCAGAAAGATCCATTGAGGAAGTTTATTACCTTTGGTGTTTGGCCGGCGGAGACTTGGAGAAAGAGCTTGTTAATAAGGAAATCATTCGATCCAAACCCCCTATCTGCACCCTCCCCAAGTAAGGAAAAAAAAAGACTTCTCTTGGAAAAGGGCAGTGGGGATGACTGGTGGTAATGCTAAAAAAGTTTAATGTTGTTTTCTTTTCGTAGATATATGGAGAAAGTGATTATGGAAGCGCTTGAAAGTAAACACCATGTTTGATCAGCCTTAGTTTCTGATTGTACTATTCCTGTCAGTGATTTTTATTAGTTTTGAATGAATATTGTCATTTAAAACCTTGCTTTGTGACCTATTTGAAGTAGAGTTAGTATTACAGAACATCATGCTCTAATTGGTATTAGTGAGAAATGTACAAATCAAGACAGTAACACTTGGGATAATGTAGTAAACAGGCCAAAGGTGGCCTATAATGAAGAGCTGTTCTTTTTCCAAATATATTTATAGCTGTACATGAACTCTGTGGCCTCATTGCATGTGCTGGAGGTCATCATCTACATACTCATAGTCGAGAAAAATCTATAAAACACCTGTTATAAATTAGAGTGGAAGTTAAATAACTCTGAATCCCTGAGAGCCAGTGGAATCTTTATTATAACATTGTTAGTTACCTTTATCATGGAATAAATGTGAAATTATGGAGCTTATTCTAAGCTGTGAAAGTTTTAATTTTAGATTTAGGACAGAAGTTGTCACTGTAGATAATTGTAGAAGCTTCTTCAATTGTGTGGAGCTTCTTCCAAGCTTTACTGTTTTAATGTTAAACTTTAGGACAGATTTGATAGTTGTGGTTAATTGCAGAGGCCATCCACTCATCATTTTCTCCTTGTTAATTTTCTTTTTAGTTTAAACTAAAGAGATTCCTTTAAGATCCTGGTATTCTTATTTGTGTAAGTGAACATTTTTAAAAGCAATGCATAGATTTGAAAATATTTTACAAATCAACTTTTACTAGAGGCCAGGCATGGTGGCACACACCTGTAATCCCAGCACTCAGGAGGCTGAGGCAAGAGGATTGCTGCAATTTCGAGGCCAGCCTGGGCTACAAAGTGAGTTCAAGGCCAGCTTGAATTACATAGCTAGACCTTGTCTCAAAAAAAAGACCAAAAAAATTTAACTAGTTCATAATTAACCCAATAGTCTACATTTATTAAATTTTTAGATTTGGATGGGCCATTAGTTTTCCACTTTTTTCGCCTCTAGATATTGACTATAATGTATGTCATCTGATGGATTAAGTAGAAAATCAGCAATAGGATGATGGAGATTACAAGAAAAGTCTGTCTGAAGGATAAATACAAGCAATAAGAGTAATTCTTTGACATGCTGGTCAGGTTGCATGCCTTGTTACCAGTGCAGTACTTTCCCCCTGCGGGGTTGCTGTGTGTGTTTCTTCTTCCCTTTACCACCTTTCACCTGGTGCAGCCTGCTCAGGAGTATACTTGAATAGTGTCAGTAGTTTCACGCTGAGCTTACATAAACGAAGAGTTGTGATCCTTGCATCCCTGAACTACTTTGTACATGTCCGCGGTGTTCATGCCAACCCAAGAGATCTAAAAGTGGGGCTAATTTGCAGAGATCTCAACCAAAAGTTACTTTGCTTTAAATTAACTACCCCCTCTAAAATTTACTCATTTTAGAGGGATCATGACTTAGGAAAATGGGCTCAATAATTATTTAACAAAAAAAATTTTTTTCCAGCTTTGTTTTTGAAGATGGTGAAAGCTTTGGACAAAGTCGAGATAGAAGCTCACTTTTAGATGACACCACTGTGACACTGTCGTTATGCCAACTGAGAAATGTAAGAACAGTAGTTTGCCAAACTGCTTCCAAGCTTTAAAGTTTTAAAAATTAAAACCTTACAGATATGCATGAAGCCTCATGTTCCCCCCTGATTTCATCAAATAATGTGTGATCTTCTGAAAAGTACATGCATCAGATTGAACTCGCAGGAAAATAACAACTGTACGTCAGATGTTTTGGTGTCTGTCTGTTCAAAACATGATTATCTTTTGCCATCACTGGATAAGTGTTCTTATTTCTCCACTTCAGTGATAATACTTGTCATTATCAAGTTTAAAAATAATTTTCATAATCTTGTTATAAAACGGAATTCTGCTGTCATACTAATCATTACTTTAGTACAGTTTTCTCTTTTTGAGCTGACTGCTTACCTATTCTGTTCATTACTAGTTTTCCTTTGTGCCAATATTTCTGAGTGATTTCTCACTGATTTGGTAACAAAACTATATTAGTCAATAACATGAATATAAGAGTATCAGCGTTTTTCTAGTTTCTGAAAACCTTTATGTACAGGATTACGTGTATTTATTTCTTGAAGGTTTCCTTGGACTTACTTGTAAAACCCTAACTGCGGTCTCCTTTCTAACCTCTGTGAATTTCTAGTCACTGTTTCCATGTATTTAATGGTTTTCAGTCAGTTCAGGTTTTCTGTTTTATTTTCAATCGCTTTTTAATGTTATGTCTTTTAGGGCCTTTAAATACAGATGAAGAAAAGCATCTAGTTTGGATCATCATATTGACTCCATGTATTTGTAGATGTTCTTTATTAGAATAAGAAAGTTCTTTTCTATGTTTAGTATTCTAAGAGTTTTGTCAAGGATGAGTATTGAATTTTGTCAAAAACTTTTCTGCATGTGTTGATATGATTGTCAGATTTTTTTCTCTTTAACTTGTGGATCCTATGGTTTATGTTAATTTATTTTAAATTCTGTACCAGTCTTGTTTACCTAAAATTCATTTGGTGATATGGTGTATAATTATCTTTGTTCACTACATGGACTCAGACACTAATTTTTTGTGGAGAATTTGTGCCTCCATGCACATGAGAGATGCTGACCTGCAGCTTCCTTTCTCATAGTGTTGCTGTCACCTTTTGTAGTAGGATTAAGGTAACACTGTGCTTCCTGCGTTAGGGACGATTCCCTCAGCTTCTGTTTTCTGGAAGAGGTCATTATGATTTCTGTTAATGTTTGGCATTATTCACCAGCGACCTTCATCTGGGCATGAAATCTTTCTTTTAGGAATATTACTCATTACTGGTTCAATTTCTGTAATAGTCCTATTCAGATTGTCTGCCTGTCCTTGTGTGAGGTTTTATAAATTGATATGTGTCATGATTGTCCTTGTCAGAGTGCTGCCTTATTTAAAATTAATACAACCATTCCAGCTCTCTTTTGATTATTGTTAGCATATTAATCTTTCTGTGTCTCTTGGTTTAAAGTGAGTTTGTTATAGACACATATCATTGGGTCTTTTATTTGTGTCAACACTGATAGTCTTTTAATTGCTCTGTTTGGACTACGCATATTAAAGAGATGACCAGTGTACAGATTGATAGGAACCGTCTCTAAGCTGCTTCCTGTCCATCGCCCTTCACTGTTGCTGCTGCCGCTTGACCTGTTGCTCTTCTTCTGCATTCTTTGGTTTTAATTCATCATTCTATATGGCTCCATTTTCTCTGCTTTCTTAGAATATTTTAAAATTGCTTAGAGTTCGCCATAGAGTGTGCTACATAAATTTGTAACTAATACAAGATAAAAGCTAGTATTTAGGTTCTGTTTCATTCTTTTCTTGATTCTCTTTATAAAATTTACAATTTTTACATTACTTTTCCTTTTAGATTCAGGTAAGCCTTGCTGCCTAAGATGGCCATACATAAAGATTTTCTTTTTAAATTCACAGAGATTAAAAGATGTTGGTGGAGAAGCATTTTATCCATTACTTGAAGATGAGTGAGTATATATACTCATTTTCTATTTATTTTTATTTTGGTTATATTAAATTTGTAAAATTTACATTTTCCAAAAACAGTGCTTTGTAAACAACAGTTGAGAGTAAGTAGTGCTTTGGGTTATTAGAATCCTGCCCCGTGGTCAGTGCTGTTGCTTCTGTTCCCTTTTACAGCCAGTCTAACTTACCTCACTCCAACAGCAGTAACGAGCTGTCAGCAGCCGCCACGCTCCCTTTGATCATCCGAGAGAGGGACACCGAGTATCAGCTCAACAGAATCGTTCTCTTTGACAGGCTGCTCAAGGTAGGCATCGCACAGCCCAGTGCTAACCAGTACCCTGTGCTGGCGAAAACTTGGGGACTCTTGACATCATAGGAGAAGACCAATTCTTGTTACCTGTCCTTTCAGTGTAACTTACTTTTGTTAAAAAAATGATACAAGTTCATAGTAAGTAAAGCTACAAAGTAAAAACAATGTGAGAATATATTAGAAAAAGGATTATTTTAAAATGAATTTAAAAACTAAAAGGTAAAAAGTACCAATACTGAGTAAGAGAAATGGATAAAGTACATGATATAAATACAACTAGACAGGAAATATTATATTGTGATACATTCCTTTATACTAGCTTACGTAGATCTCATATCATGAAGGAATATTGAACTTTCTCAAGTTTCCTGCATATACTGAGATGACCATGTGATTTTTATACTTTGTTCTTTGTGTATGCTGTATCCCATTTCTGTATTTTGAGCCATCCTTGTATCCCTAAGATGAATCCCACTAGTTCGTGGAGAAACTTTTTAATTTCTCATTGGTCTTGGTTTACCTGTATTTTGCTGATGATTTTTTCATCTTTGCATTTCATGTCAAATACATGGATTTGTAAATTGTTTGTTTTATCCTTGTCTGCTTCTGATCTCAGGGTAATGATGTCTTTATAAAATTTGTTTGTAAGATTTCTTTTATCTTCACTTTTTTAGAATAATTTGAGTGTTAGTATCCACTCATAGAAAATGAAAAGTGTTGTTATTCCTTAAATTTTGGGTAGAATTCAGACATCAATCTTAAACTTTTAACATTGACAGGGGACTTTTTTTATTATTGATTCAACTGTGTTAACTTGTTAGTGGTCTGTCAAGAATTTCTATTGTTTTATGATCCAGTCTGGGTAGAATTTATGTCCAGGAATGTGTTCATTTCTTGCAGGTGATCAGATATTTTGGAGTATTTGTTCCATAATACTTTCTCTTGGTGTTTTGTATTTCTATAGTGTCAGCTGTAATATCTCCATTTTCCACTGTGATTTTGAGTCCTTCTCTCTTCTTTTTTTTTTAAGTGTAGTGAAGGGCTTATCAGTTTTATTTAAAAACTAACTTTTCATTCCATTAATCTTTCATACTTTTTTTTTGGTCTCTATTTCATTTTTGCTTTGATCTTTGTTATTTCTTCAACTTCTGGGTTTAGTTTGTTCTTGTTTTTCTAGTTCCTTGAAGTATGATAATGGATTACCTGATATATTTGTTTGTTTGATGTACTCATAGATTGCAGTAAATTTCTCTAAATATTGCTTTTACTATATTCATAGGTCTTAGTATGTTGTTTCCATTGTCATTCATTTCAAAAATTTTAAAATGTCCTCAGTTTCTTCATTAATTGGTTGTTTAAAAGTATGTTATTTAATTTCTATGTATGTATATTGTTTTTGAAGGTTTTGTACTTACTGAATAATTTTACTGCTTTATAGTTGTGAAAATACTTGCTATAATTAAATCGCTTTGAAATATTCTTATTCTCTTTTCGTATCATAGGCCTATCCATATAAAAAAAATCAAATTTGGAAAGAAGCAAGAGTTGACATTCCTCCTCTGATGAGAGGTTTAACCTGGGCTGCTCTTCTGGGAGTTGAGGTAAGAAAGAAAAGATATGATAAGTTGATTAATATAATGGATGATCAAGAATGTTTAAATTTCTTTTTAAAATTTATTAGAATAAAAGACAAATTGCCAAGAACCATAGAGTAAATATATTGAAAGTGAGATTACTGGCGTTGGGTCTTTTAATGTATTATTTTTTTATTTGATCGTTCATCATATTTTTTGATCACCAATCAGTGATCAAACATTCACTGTAATTATATCAAAATATTATAATTTTTCCTTATCCACTTTATATACCACATTTGGCTCCATGTTATTTCTGGCTCTTCAAAATCAAATTGATCATGGACGATAAGTGTTTAGAATAGATTCAGGGCACTAAAGCAGCCATGACGGTGCAACCAAAAACACTCCCAAAAGAGGGCTCCCCGGGGCTGCTGCAGAAGGCGGCGGGAGTGACGGGAGAAGTGTGTGGATGTGAGGGAGAGCGGAGTGTCATGACAGGGATTAATGACACTCAGGCTTTTACCATAATCAATTTTTTTTTAATTTAAACATTTACTCTGTGATTTTTTTTGAAGGTAGATAAAAAAGATAGAACTTTTTGAATATTTCTGTATATTTTATTAGAAAATTAGTAAAATGCGAGCATAAGTTTATAAATTTAAATGGAAGGAATAGAAAAGAACATGTAATTAAAAATTTGTTAATTTGTGCTGTTTCATATTTTAGTGGTGTTCACAGAAAGTATCCTAATCATTAAATTGAAAGTCAGGTTATTTGTGTACGTCAGTTACAGATAGGAACTTACAGTTACTCATAGATGCTGCTCTTTTTTAAGTGTGGCTTTTTATTTATAAACAGTTGCAAGGCCTGAGAACTCTTTCAATCCAATCTATGTTACAAAGTCATTAACATAATTTCATGTCTTTTGGCACATTTACCTTACCTGGATCACGCTAAGAGACATAGCTACTTTTGTCTTCGTCAACGTTTTATCCATGGTCATGAGGAAAGGAGAACTGTCACAAAATTGTTAGGGCAACTTGTCCTACAAACAAGAACTCTGCTGCTAGAAATCATGATAAGGGACCAGATCCTTGCCAGACTGTCATTTCCTAGTGATTTCTCTTCATTCCATCTTCCTGTACTGTTTTCTAGATATCTTCTACCCTTTCAGTTTCTACAACCGTTTTTAATCCTTTTCCTCTTTTGGAAGAATTTCCTTCCTTCATTCCTGATTCTCTTGATGAAAGTCTAGAAATATTTTTGGAAATAGCGGATTATTTTACAAGAATGTCGGCTATTTCATGCCATGTAATAATGATAAGTACTTACGTCCAAGCTTACTTCCGTCAGGCTGTCTAAATCTCTCACTTCTTAGATATCTCAAAGAAGTTGATATAAAAAATATTGTCACCAAATTCCTGGCTCTTTCTCCATCTTAATGGAGCTAGAAGAATAAGAATATTTGTATGGTTGGCCCTATAGAACATGACCAGAGTGTGAAACAGTAGTTTATTCAAATATTTCTTCTGTAACAGTATAACCAAAAAATATAGCAGACACTCCTAGTTTCAAACTGTTCTATAATTAGATGATATCCACTCTAGCCTAAACTTCTGTTTCCTGATAATGAACCACTAACACTTGAATGATTTTTTTGTTTTATTATGAACTTTTATAGAAAAATTTTATAGGGTTACCTTCCTCACACAAAAAAAATTTTATTTATGAAATTTATTTTTTATGAGTTAATAATGAATAGAGAACAAAATTATGTGGTATTATATTTGCTCAATAAGTGACTCACCCTGCATATTTACTTTTCTGTGTGGATAATATGAGGTCTGCTTCACCAATATGGCAAATTATCACTCATCATAGGCCTTTGTCACATTGTCAAAAACGTAGAGTTTCTTTGAAGTTGAAGTGTAACTTGAGTTTGAATGTGTCTATCTGTAATTAAGAAGATCTTAACAACTAGAGACTGATAAGAAATTAATTTTTCCTATTGAGCATTGCTAACCCAAAAATGTGAAATGGTCCAAAATCTGATAATTTCTGAATGCTAGCATTACACATTGAATGTTTTGATTTTGGAATATTTTGGATTTTAGGATTTCTGATTAGAGATACTCAACCAGTACCTTTTCAGATACAGTACTGTATTCCAAAATCAGAAAAACTCCAAAATATGAGCTATGTCAGCTCTTACATATTTAGGACAGGAGGTACTCATCAGGTGTTGTCAGTTTTATTAAATATATGATGAATTGACATGTTTTATTTTTTGCAGGGAGCTATACATGCTAAGTATGATGCAATTGATAAAGATACTCCAATTCCTACAGATAGGCAGGTAAGATTGTCCTAAGTACCTGCCATAGTTCTGCCAAATATTTAAACTTTAGAAGACCTGGAGGAATGTTCCTTTCTTTCATTAAGAATCCCCAACTTCTGCCAAATATTATGGTGTTTGAAAATGTTGGTAAATGGGCCAGGGATTTAGCTCAGTGGCATAAGCCCTGCCTGGCAAGTGTGAGGTCATGAGTTTGATCCCTGGTACCAAAAAAAAAAAAGGTGAGGTGACTAAGGGTGTTTGGCGTTGTGTCAGCATCTTCTGATTTGTTCCACTGGTCCTAAGATCTGTTTTGGGGCTCGGGATTTAGCTTAGTGGCATAAGTGCCTGCTTTGTAAGCGCATGGTTGTGAGTTCGATCCCTGGTACCAATAAAAAAAAAAAGGAAAAGAAAAGAAAATGTTCGTAAATAATTGAATTAGAATAACACTTTAAAGAACTTTAGACCAAGTAACCTTTTAAAAAAAAATTATATTTTTCACCTGAAAATTTTTACCTTTTATTTAGACCAATTTATAGCATATTTTTAATACTCTATGTATACATTATATTAATTATATATTAACAAATTATTTTGTTACATTATCTTTTTTAAAAAAGTCTGTTTGCCTGTGCATACAACTTCATTGGTATTCCAGAAGATAAATAAAATGTACATAAAACTTAGATACTAGGGACGCTCTGAAGGTTACCTTATAATCTGTGCTATTGTTATTTAGGGAACATCAATTTTCAGTTCGTAAGGGATTATTGTCAAGGTTATGTGTTACTGCTTTGTGATTCACAGATCGAAGTGGATATCCCTCGTTGTCATCAGTATGATGAACTTTTATCATCACCTGAAGGCCATGCAAAATTTAGGCGTGTATTGAAGGCTTGGGTGGTATCTCATCCTGATCTTGTATACTGGCAAGGTAACTTTTTTGTTAAGACTTTTCTTAAGTAATATTAGGGACTTACTATGTAGCTGGTGATTTCTAAATTTAAAGTTATCAACTGTCCTTTGTTTCAAGCAAAGTAAATACTAAAGCTCTGATTCTTTTTTTTAATTTTTTTTTATTTTGAAGAGAATGAAACCAAATGTGACAAAACAAAACAGTCAGTCAAAACCAAAGGATGGACATAGTATATGACTTAAAAACAAAATACAAGGTGATCAACAATGGTTACCATAATGCCTCTTACTGTCTTCAAAAGAATTGCCCATATCACAGGCATAGTAAAATTGAACAAAACGGTATAGAACAAAACCAATAAAAACAAAACACTGGAGACATTATAGAATTTAAAAGAAGATGGTTATCATAGTGAATCTTACTGTCTTCAAAGTAGTTGCCTATACCCTTAGACTTGATACTATCAAACAAAACAGAATAGAATAAAATCAGTGAAAGCAATACAGGGCTTCAAATCAAGTTAATAGGAAATCAAAAATGGTTACCATAATGTATCCTGCTATCTTTGGAATAGCTGTCCATGCCATCAAATCTAATACAAGTACACAAACTGGAATAGAATAAAACCAAACTAAACAGAGTGATGAAAACAATATGGGTTTCAAATCGTAAAAGATTAACAATGGCCACTGCCTTCCCTTGTTAGACAATTCCTGCCTTTCACTTTCACAGGGTGCACTGTACATTTCGTATCCCACTAACTCTCTTCGTTTTTAGATTAGGGAGGCAACCCGCTATTCATCTAAGTGATTCTGAACCTTTTTACCCTGAGTATGATCTCAAGTTGAATCCATCTACCAACAAGAGCCTCAAGGTTTTCTTTCTTTATAGCTGAGTAGTTTATAGCTGAGTGTTATGGCTTTCTAGACAATCTAAAGCTGATGGGCACACTACCCCCACTTTTATCTGGTTCCCACAGAGTACTGTTTTCTCATCATTGACTTTCAGTCCATAAACCCTCCTTTGGGTTAATTGTATTTCTTACATAGGGCATATTGATAGACCCTATCTTCTGATCCACTTTGCCTGTGTTGCTTTTTATTGGTGAATCAGGGCCATCCATATTAGTGATTATAGCCAACTTTCTCTGCCTCATCTCTGCCATGCTATTTTTCTGTCATTGGTTGTCTTCTTTTCCCTTCATTCCACTGTCTTCCATGTTCAATGAGCCCCCTCTGCCACTGTTCCTGAAGCCACGGTCTTTTTTTTCTCTTTCTCTCTCTAGAATGTCCTTCAGTATTTTTTGTAGGGTTGGTTTGATGGTCATGAACTCCCTCAATTCCTCTTTGTCATGGAAGCATCTTGTTTCTTCATTAATTTTGAGAGATAGTTTTTCAGGATAATCAATCTAGGTTGGAGGTTATTTTCTTTTAGGACTTGAAATACTTCACTCCAAGCTCTTCTTGATTAATGGTTTGTGTCAAGAAGTCTGCTGTGATTCTGATGAGTTTTCCTTTATAGGTAATCTGTTCCTTTTCTCTGACTGCTTTTAATGTTCTATTCTTGTGTTGAATTTCTGTGATCTTGATTATTATATGTCCGGATATAGATCTATGTTATAGCTGGCTGGAGTTCTGTATGCCTCATATATCTGAATATCTTTTCCTATGCTTGGAAAGTTATCTTTAATTATTTCTGTAATTAGCCTTTATATTTCATTTGTGTTTATCCCTGCTTCTTCACTCACTTTTTTTATTCTTAAGTTATAGATCCTCTTCTCATCTTTTAGCCTTTGTATTGTTGCTTCCTGTTTCTTGTTAATTTTTAAGAGATCTTTCCTTTCATGATCACATGGTGCATACCTGTCTTCAAGATTTGATAGTCTATCTTTAGTTTCTTTCAAGCAGTTTTGCCAGCTTTCAATGGAGTTTTTAATTTCCTGGTAATCTCTTTGAATCTGTTTCATGTGTTCTAAGTTTTTTTTATATTCTTCATTGAAGGTGTCCCTCCTTTTTCTATGCTCCTCTATTCTTTCACCTGTGTTTTCTTTACAGATGTTTAGCAATTCTTTTATTATGTTTCTCATATCTTCTTTTACCTATAAATAATATTTCTGTTCTAAGTTCTTTTATAGCTTCATGGAGTTGTTTCTTTATTTCAGTTGCTATTGCTTCAGAAACTGCAGGTGCGCAACTCCCAATCCCTTCTGTGTTTACATCTCCTGGACCAGTACTGCTTGGGTTGGAGGCCAGAGACTGCCTTTTGCTTCTTCCTCTTGTCATGTTCCTGGTTTCTTCCAGACAAGTGGGTAGGAGGGTCCCTGGCACTTCCTGTATTGGTTATAATTACTCTGAAGTGTGTTGGCTAGGGATTTCTGCTGTTTGCTGCTTTCCCCAGTCTGCTGGTGGCTACTGGAATGTAAGCAGGGGCCAGGCAGTCTGGCCCCTCCCTTCTGATCTGGTTTACCACAGAGATAGCTTTAGGGAAACCTTGGCAGTGGCTATTGGATCGTGCAGAGCATCGTGCATTGGATCAGTCCAAGCAGTTTCCACCAGTCTGCTCCAAGTTAGGAGTAGCTCGATGAAGCTGGCTGCAGTTTTGTCTCCAGGCTTATCCTGCCTAACTCCAAAATGGCACCATGCCAACCACCTACTCCTGCAGGAGAACTGAGTCCCACATACTCACCACCAGCCAGTGCAGTTCTCTGGTCTACTGCCCCCCTCTGTCACCGGGTCTACCCGCCAAGGCCTTCAGGCTTGCTAGCCACCAGCTTCACTGTGCCCATGCATCTCTGGGTTCCAACAGCACTTCTGGCATGCTGAGTTCAGCTCCAGTGAAATCACCGCCAACTACTGCCTCCTTCTGTTTAAGTTTTTCTTTTTCTTTTTTTTTTTTTTTTTTTTTTTTTTTTTTTTTTTTTTATTCTCTCAGTGGGCTTTAATGCTCACTTGAGTTTCTTCCTCGGTTGAGGGGGCCCACTTCTTTCCTTCTTGTCTTCTCCATAATGCTATATTCCAGCATCTGGATTGTTTCTCTCAGAGAGGCTTTTTACTCTGCTGCTTACTGTTCCACCATCTTCCCAGACTCCCTGATTCATTTTTGAAAGGTTTATGAGAACTGCTTTTCAAAACTTTGTTTAATCCCTGTTGGATGTCATTTAAATGTGTGATAGTTAAAATTAAACAACTTGTAATCACATGACTAGGACATTAGGATTTGGGTACTTATTTAAAGTTTATGGATACATTGTTAAGTTTATGCAAACAATAAAATAAGTTTATGTCATAAATAGCTTGGTGCTATTTGAGATTTTTACTATGTAATGATTCCTCGCTTATGCTTCTCCTAGTTTATTAGAAATAAAGCATAGGAGATCACCCTAAAGTGCTCATTTTGCTAATTGGCTTTTTAAATATTTATTAGCATGTTTGCAGTATCTAATGATTACATTCCTGGTGAGGAGTTGGTACATGTACATACACATCTTATTGTCTCTTTTTACCTTCTACTATATTAATTCTTTGGATCTTTAAAATTTTAGTCGTATAACTTTTGTAGGGATTGCTGACCTTCAAATCATGCACACAAGGACTGTGCTCTAGCACTGAGCTACATCCTCAGCCCAAATGTCATCCATATTTTTATGGCCACCAGTAAGTTCAGATATGAGAAACCTATTCCATTTAACCTTTTTTTGTAATGTTCTGCTGTAAGCAGTTGGTGTTAAATTTAACTTTTCTATTTCTTATTGGCCACATTTAGTAAAATGGCGATATTACGTTTCCTACCTTGGTACATTTCTCAGGTGTTCTGGATCCTCCTCACACATTGTCAGTAGATCTAAGTGCATCCTTTTGCTGTTACAGCACATAAACATCATTATTATTAAAATAACTTGGTGAATTTTTGCATTTTACTCCACAATTTTTAAAGAATTTTCTTTGTCATCCTAAAGAGAAAGAATAAATAGGCTCCTCTCCTAGAAAGAAAGCATGCCTGAAGATGGTAAGTAATGGCCCAGTTAGGGTCAGAAGGGACTGTGACCCAAGTCTTCTGGCATTTTACATCTTTTAAATCTCTGTGTTGCTCTATCATATATAAATATTGGTAATAACTGATTTGTTTTGGACATAAACTATGTTCAGACACTGTTATTTATCCCTCATTGTAATTCATGAAAACACACATGTCTAGAGCACTTGTAATGCCTCTGTATTTGGAGGCAGTGCAAAGAGCTGAGCAGCTTTATACCCACCACTCTGCTGGTTGCATTTATTTGACTCCTTTGTCCCAACTTTTCTCTATCAGGTTTGGACTCACTCTGCGCTCCCTTCCTGTACCTAAATTTCAATAATGAAGGTAAGCCTCTTTGTCGTTTAAGGAATTATTGGACCTTTTATTCTAAAATATTGGAGTTTAAAGTTTGTGTACTTTACCTTACAAATGCTATAAAATTTTATGAAATAGTCTGTGAGATTCATTTTCGAGGCTATGAAGGTTTAATTTGTTCCTAACATGCCCATTATGATAAGGGTATAACTAGAAATCTATTCTAAATTGTTTTACCTACTTTCCTGGCCATTTTTATGAAATCTGAAGGAATTTTCTGACTTTGTTACAGTTTTAGTGTACTGTATTTTATAAATAATTGGCAAAGAAATCAATGTTGACTGCATTTCTCCCAAATCTTGCATCTCCAAAGGTTACCATTTCAAACATATCTCTTTGATAAAGACTTTTTATTCTCCTTTCTGAATGTATACAACTCTTTGTATTTCAGGAAATCTATCTGGTGTCTATTTTGTAGTCTCTTTACATATATATTAATGTTACAACCCTTTTTTGACATTTTTTTTGGTTAATGATAGATTTTCAGGTTTTGTCCCTCTGTTACAGATTTTTTATAGTGAAATTTAATGTGTTTGTTAAATTCAATTGACTGAGATTCCAAATCTTTAATAATATCACATATAAAACATGTTATTCTATATAACATAAAGTAGAGATAGTGTAATACCAAAGAACTGAAACTTTATTGTGCGAATCATTTTAAAAGGTGTCCTATTCATTGAAATACTCATGACTATAAAAACTGGGCTTTTGTTGGTGTTGATTAGACAAAGTCAAATAGTATTTAGATTGACCCAACACTTGTATGAGATCTGAAAAAAAAAAAAAATAGTATGAGATCTGTATTTGAAAATACAGGTTATGACCAAAACTCCTAAATTCAGAGTCTTATTTGCATCAGCAGTGATTAAGATTATGAGATTTTATAGCTCCTTAATAATGATCATGTTAAATTTAAAAACAGTTCAGTAACAAAGGTTTATTGTAGGGTAATAATTGCCACAGTAATTTGAAATTGAAATCACTAGGGTGGTTATCTTTTTGTTATTCAAAATATTTTCTGCTTTAAAGAAAGGATTTGATTTTTTTTCTTCCATAACTTTGTTTCCAGCACTTACTTCTACTTTTAATAATAGGCTCAGTGAATGTTTGCTGAATGAGTCGATGAAAGCCAGTCATTTCCCCTATTCAACAGTCTTTTACTTGTCTTATTCTTCAGCCCTGGCTTATGCGTGTATGTCTGCTTTTATTCCCAAATACCTGTATAACTTCTTCTTGAAAGACAACTCACATGTAATACAAGGTAAGCACATATTTTTCTTATCCTTTTATAGGGAAAGGTCAAAAATAACCAGTACTCAGTCAAATTAGAATTTTAACCAAATGAAAAATGCTTATGGTCCTTTCAAGAGTTGAGAAAATCTAGTCTTCTTCCAAGTTCACCAGGAAGTATATGTTCTTTTCCTAATGACTGTTTAATTTCTGGCAATGTAAAATCAAATACAACCATGGAAATTTCAGAAAGTAAGAGGCTGCTCTTTGTCTCTCTCATAATTAAAATTGCCCACAGAAAGCCTTCCCATGGGGTAAGCCACAGCGAGTCAGTAAAAAGTTTTAACACTGCTGTGTATTAAAAACACTCCTCATTCATCTCCTTGAACACTGTGAGCTCCTCCTTTTACTTCCCTACACGATTCCTTCTCCTTCAGAGTCTGGGTAATAGCATAGCGTATTTGTGAATTCATTCACGCTGACTTCGACTGCATTCAAGTTTCCAGTGCAGCATTCTGGGCTCCATTTTGGAAGTAGTGTAACAAGTTAATAATATGCAGTTTTGAATTAAAGGCTTCAGATTTAAGCTTTCCTACTTATTGTATAATATTGGACAAAAACTTAAGTTCAGTAGCTGTCATTTCCTTATATCTAAAATTTTTAAAGATTATTATAACAAATTAAATTTTTAAAGATTATTATAAATAATTTAAATTGTGGGTACATAGTAGTATTGTTCAGTAATGACCCTTGTTTCTTAATGTTCTTGTTCCCATTATTACTAGTTTTTGCCTAGTATCATAGCATTTCATGCTGTTTTCTTATCTCTTCAGCAAGGTTCACAATGTTTTAAGGACAGCAAATTTTGCTGCAGGTTTATATATTTTTGAAGCACAATGCAGAGCCCCTCATATAGTCTACCATTTGCCTTTTTCACAACACGTATCAGACACACCCTTAACTCTGACGGAGTCAGTGTTCTGCTTTGGTGTTCTGTAATTAAGGAAGAATGTGACGTATAGGAAGGAAGTTGGAGGGGCTGGGGATTTAGCTCAGTGGCATAAGCACTACCTTGCAAGCGTGTGGTAGTGAGTTCAATCCCTGGTACCTGTAAAAATACAAAAATATACCAAAAAAAAAACCACATTAGAAAGGAAGTTGGTTTTTGCTTACAGATCAATTTAATATGTCTCCCCAACTTCAGGAGTCACACAGCAGGCACTGCTGAGACTTCACTAAGCTGTGCCCTGTAGAGTGGCCCTGTGCCTTATCACTGGAGCTGCTGATTCTGTTTTCACCCTACTTGTTCATAGTTCCCTTATCGCCTTTATCAGTGTCTGCTTGAAGATTCCAGTAACACCAAAGTGAGGGCTCTAAAACACCTTGGATCATACCAGGACTTTCAAAGACGAGGCAATATAAATAACTTGTTAAATGGTGACCAAAGACAAACTGAAAAATTAAAGGTAGAAAATAATCAAATTGGTGTTTGTGCTGGATTAGCATTTGTTAATCCTCACTTAAATATATAAGCAATATAATGTTATTTTGAAGCCATTGTGAAAAGTAATGTTTACTGAAACTTTCAACTGTAAAAATTTGGCCATCCTTCTTGTTCATATTTGTTGGGCACCTATTAAAGCGTAATGCCTAACTGGATTCCTATACTTTAGAAAGATGAAAAATTAGGAATACTCAAATAAGCAATTAAAATAGGACTTACTAAATGAACTAGACTATTTATTAGATGGCTAATGAACAATTCTCAGAGTCATAATAGATATCATCTGTGGTTCTGCTCTCTACTTTGACCTCATTTATTCCTACTGAAAATGCAGAATTTATTTGCCTCTTGACATTTTCATTCTGCTGTTGGTTTCATCTCAGATAGATGCCTGTGCTATATACTGATAATGAATTTCCAACAAATAAGACAAATTCTCACACTTCTTTTACTATACCCTTTTCTAAGATGCTTTTAACAGACTTAGTTACCGATAAGGACAGTTCTTGTGTGATTTATGAAAGTAGAAGAGAAACTAGAGTGTATTTAATGATTTAGGAAAGATTTGTCAAAAAGACAAAAGATTTTGTAAGAACAGTTTATCTTCATTTTATATCTGCAAAATTTTAAAAATATGTAGTGTTATTAAAATGCAAAAATTTGTAGTACATATAATTTTGTACAATATAAAAAATTTCATTTGAAGTTTTAGAAATTTCATAAAATCTCTGATGTTTTTTAAAAAGATAGGCATTTACCTATTTAAATCAACTGTAGGTTTAAGAATACTATTTTTGAGGTTAAGTCTCTAGATTCATATTTTCACCATATAATATAAATCACAATTACGATGATTTGACAACATTTTTACATTTTGATGTCTCAGAGTCAGTGGTGATATTACATTCAAAGAATACTAGCTTCTTTGTTGTTGTTGTTTGTTTGTTAATTAGTTTTTGACCACTGGTCTGTTTCTATGTAGCTACCCTTCAGTTTTTTCAGGTCTATGTATAAATTAAAGGATGTAAGTGTTTTAATTTTTTGGAAATTTACTCTGCAGGGTGGGGAGATGTTTCTTGAAATACCGTCGTGCTGATGTCATAGCTTGTGTCATCCCACTGTTAAGAAAGCTTACCAACAGGCTATACTGTAGCTCATGTGAAGCCTATGCTGTGCAACCATAGCTTATGTCAGCTTTATAGTCATATTTACACATATGAAGTGACATAATCCACAGCAACATGTAGCATGTGTCTCTGTATGTGTGTGAACATGCAGTTGTAACATGAAGCCAGCTATCAGTGTTTGGCAGAACATACGGAAAATGTTTTCATAATGAATAAAGTCTCTTCAGTAATTCATTCATTAACCATGTAAATCCACATAGCAGTTAATTTTATCAGGCTCAATAAGAATGATCCTTAATCAGTGGGAGCATAGCTGTGAAGAATTGCTTGAGGCATGGATTTCTAATTTAGAAGGTAGAAGTTAGCACCGATGTACTTGTCAGTGTACAGTTGGATGCTTGTGGTGGCTGACGTTACACACCTTTGGCTTCTGTGTAAACCGGCTATAAACACACCATCGCGGACTGGAAGGGGAGAAGAACCTTAGGCCCGGAAGTTCCCCAGAGCTTTCATGCATATGTTGATCTTCACTCTGACTTGCGGCTCTTAGACCTGATGGAGTCTAAGAGGGAAAGGTGAAACAGCTGGCAGAGAGTGAATTCTGATGCAGTGGAATGAACGGCAAGCCAGGAAGAGGTCTTATCTGAGTGCCCATTCTTTATGCAGCATAAGCAAGATTCACACAGGTCAGGAAGGCGACTTGCCTTTATCATTGGATGGAAGACAGGCCACTTTTTCCTGTCCTTCTCTGTGAAGTATATGATGTTGCTTATAGGCAAGTAACGGTAAAATGCATGTAAAGCTTTAGTTGAGAAATATGATGGGGTATACATATATGTTTACCAACTCCTATAATGAATATATTCATTATGTTTCACAAATGTGTTAATAATGGTAAAATGAAAATATTTTTTAAAATTTTAACACCCTCATCCTAGAATAAGATAAGCCTACCTATGGTGATACATTATAAAAATTTAGTACTTTTTCTTGAAACTTAACAATAATAAACTTACATCAGGTGTGGTGGTACAGAGCTATAATTCTAACATTCCTAGAGGCTGAGATGGCAGGATACCCATCAGTTCAAGATCATTTGAGCTACATAATGAGTTTAAACTATGTACTGCAACCTTATCTCAAAAAAAGACATAAATATAATAAATTAATAAGACAAGGCAAAAATTATTTTAGGGGAAGAGGATTTAGCTTAGGGGCACAAGTGCCTGCCTGGCAAGCGTGAGGTCATGAGTTCAATTCCCCAGTACCCCCCCAAAAATTAATTTTAGAAGTTATTTTCATCGATTAATTGACTTAAAAATAGATAATTTTGAAGGAGAATTGGAATTATTAAATGAAAACTTTTATTGAGTTGCATTTTCAGTTTCAAAAAGAAACATTGAAATATGTATTTTTGTTTTTTTAATGGGTAAAGTTAAGTGGTTACTTGCACTAGGGTAGATTGTTACCATTGTCTTGGTTAGATTAGTACCTGGAGAATAAATTGGTAAACCATAAAGAGCTATGAAAGACTGGAGAAAATGAGAATTTATTGCTCACCTTCCCGTCAAGCCCTCTGAATTAGGACTGGGTTGGAATCAACACAAGATATTTTTGATTATCTGCTGTGTGCCTACTTTCTGATTAATGTGATGTTAATTCTCATTGCTAAATAAATCAAATGTAGAGCCATAGATGAAAATAAATTAAAACTAGAACGGATGCCTAAATCTGTAATATAAACAAATTTGAAGCGTATTTGGGACTGCTTATAAATGTTGTTTCTTATTTAAGGATCTATTATACTTTCCGAACATTGAATAAATGTGAAATAGATTTAATATTATGAAAGAAAATCTATTTACAGAATTTAATAAGAAAACATTCATCATGATTTATATAGTTTTTGACTCAAAAAATCAACATAGCTCTAAAATCAGAAAATAAGTTATGGCATGGTGTCTTGGCATATTTGTTTAATAACCAAGAGTAAGTGATTAAAGTAATTAAAAAAGAAAAACGTTCAGGCTTATTTTCTTCATGGAGACATTAAATCTGATTCAGGAGCATAAATTAAAATGTATTTGCACTTATTGTCTCGGAACTAATGTATCAGAGCGCCTCATCTGAGTCTTTGCTGTCGTGCAGAGTACCTGACCGTGTTCTCCCAGATGATCGCCTTCCATGACCCCGAGCTGAGCAACCACCTCAACGAGATTGGCTTCATTCCAGATGTGAGTGCCACGCCGGGGGAGCAGGAGGGAATGGAACCCTGGGCCTGAACACACAGCCCTGCTGACTGTAGTCTGTGTTCATTCCCTGAGTCTTGCTTTAAGTAAAGCGAAAGAATCTTATTTTTCTTAACAGACTCAATCCTATCGGATTGTTGGGAAAATTCACTAGTAAGAGTGTTGTATTAAGCTGCTGTGTCCAGGGCTTTCACTTGGACTTTAGGATATTCGGGTCTGATTTTGAAAAAATCGGTAATGTATTCTTAGGTGGAATCCTAGGTGGCTCTGCCTGGGTTTTTTTTGCTTGCTGTATTACCGTGCCACTTTGCCAGATTTTGGCAGATGTTATGGCTTCTCTGTGTCAGCCTCAAATTCAGAGTTGACTCAGACAGGTTGGCCAGGGTGTAGCTTAGCTATTAACTCATTTGCATTTTGTGATATGGAGTTAAACCTCCCGTGAAAGGCTGTGGGATGAACATACATCAAAACATCAAATCATGCACCATATATGCAATTATTAAAAATAATAAAAGCAAAAAAATAATTATAGGGATTACACATTTGGGGAGAGGACTGAAATTGATTTAGATTTAGGGGAACCTTTTATGTTTCACATTTTATACTTTTAATTTTTTAACATTGAATACAAAAATGTTGATAACTAGGAATCTTAAAAGTTTTTTTGTTTCAGTGAGTTGTACCCTCAAGTCTGTCACTAATATAAAAACTGGAAATGCTATTTTAATATCTGATTCTGTAGATAGATTGGTGTTTTTAACTTAGAGATTATGCACAGTCAGTACAAAAGGGGTGTGATGGAATGGAGGATTTTTTAGCATGTTTCTGAGTTACTTTTCATTAGTTTGTTTATATAACACTCTTTCAATCTTTTTCCCTTTAATTCATTTAATTTTCCACCTTTAAAATAATTGTTGCGGAAACTGTGCCTATAGCAAGAACACAGGCTAAGATTCATCAAAAGGAAGAATGTGTACTTTGATGAGAGCCTAAACTACACCTGCCCAAGAACTAATCCTATCAAAGTCGGCCCTCAATGATCTCCCATCACTGAATGCAGGTTTCCGTGGCGGGAGAGATTGTGATTTCTGGCTCCTTTCCATTTGCTGTGGGTCATAGAATTCTGAACATCAAGCACTGCTGAAGCTGAAATGGCTGGGAATATTGTATGCTGATGCGATGCTTAGATTATGTATGTCATGGTAATTATGCGATTTACATATAAATAGAGTGAGTTATGTACATTTGACAAAATTGGGGCCAGAATAATTTCTATCATCTTTGTCTTGATGTGCTTCTGCTTCTGAAAGCATATGGGGCCCTTAAAGTGAAAACAAGAAAGAATATTTTCTTATTCTTAAGGAAACTTTTCCTGAAGTGCAAGGAATGGCACTCAGCTACAAATTCTGTAAAGTCGTGAGGGACCATAGTAGAAATGACAGTGCTGTCCATATTTCAGTACTGCATGTGCTTCTGAGCCTACTATTTTTGCTAGAGGCACAACTAGTTGATTCAGTGACGGGCTGGCAAAACCATTGTCATTTAGCTATAATCTGAAAGGATTTTTAAATTGCTACTAATTTTCTGCTTCTGTAGAACTTTGTTAAATTTATAATTTTTTTTCTTTTTGGCACTGGAAATTGAACTCACAACCTCACACTTGCCAGGCAGGAGCTTATGCCACTGAGCTAAATCTCCAGCCCCCAATTTACAATGTTTTAAATCTATATTCAACTGGGCTTATACTAACTGAAAATGTGAAAGGACAATTTAGAACTATGTGCTTGATTCTGGCCTTTGCACTGTTTGTGAAAATAGTTTTGTAGGCTAGAGGGCTGTCTCAGTTGGTAGAGTGCTTTATCTGGCATCTATGGAGCTCCAGTTTTGATCTCTAACACTCAAGAACAAAATAAATAAGTAAAAATAATTTTGAAATAAAAAGTTGCAGATTTTAATCCTAAGAGGAGACTACTAACAATGAGCTTTGCATGTTTAATCAAAATATGATTATAGGAAAAGTATACCTTATTTAGAATATTCCATCCGGAGAATCCTGTGAGGCTGTTGGAGTGTATCTGGAGAATCTGGGGAGAATGTGTTTTCTGGGCTGAACTGCTGTGGGTTTCCTGACAGAAGTCCTAAGCCTGCGGTCTGGAGTACAGCAGGCTTCTTAAAGGCTCTTTCTCATATTGAAGCAAGCTTATTCTTCAGACACCACACAACAGTTTTCCTAACAGATTTTCCATTTAAGTAACTCTTTAGTTGAATCCCCCACCCGCATAGTCTGTTTGCGATCTGATATATCCTTATATTGGTTGAGAGACAAATGAAAGGAAAAAATAACATAATGTGACAGTTCTCAGAACTTTTGGTCTCAAGATCTTTTTACATTTTTAAAACCTAATAGAGACCTCAAAGAAATTTTTGTTCTAATAGATGAAGTCTGTCATCAATTTGAAAATATTTACATGCTAATTAATTTAAAAGTATTAATATTTTTATTTTGAGATAGGATCTCAATGAGTAGCTAAGTTGCCTATGCTGGGCTCAGACTTGGGATCCTATTGCCATCGCTTTCCAGAGTCATAGGATTTCAGGTGTGTTCAGCCTTGCCTGGTGAGTTATTACTCTTTAAAAGTAATGCAGTCTTAATCATCACAGCTAGTGAAAACTGCTTAAAAACCAAAATTGCTGGCCAGAGATTTAGCTCAGCAATACAAGCGATTGCCTGGAAAATGTGAGGTTATGAGTTCAATCTCTGGTACAAAAAAAAAAAAAAATTAAAATTGAACACAGAATTGCCTTAGGGTGACTTAGATGGGACAGAAATTTTCTGATTTTCAGAAAGCAGAGTAATGTACGTCCTGTAAACTCTAGTTCAGTGAGTTCAACAAGAGTCTAGAACCTTAAGTCAAAATGGTCGGTAATGTAGCAGACACTGTGTTCCATTCTGCTTCACTTATCTTTTCTTATGTATGAATCGTGTCTGTATTCCTCTGTATCTGATACAACATTAGCATAATAGTTTTCATAGAAGCATGCAGTAAAATTATTTTAGCAATAAATCATCTTTTGCTTCAATATTACGACATCCCCAAAATCAGATCATAATTTTTTTATGTTAAGAATTCTAGAGAATTGCTTTCACTCTTTATTATCCTGTGGATTAATAATTTTTACCTCCTGACTATTATTTCCTTTTTGGTGGCCATGGAAATGAAAATAGGCTTTCTGCTTGATGCTGTTTCCGTGGACTGTAAAGATGAGGGGCGGGAAGCAGTGTTAGTTCAGCAGAACTAGGCGGCCTTGCCTTAGCCCGTGTTGCCCCACCGCCGCCCCACTGGATACGTCCTGATTTGGCGCAAGCCATCGACACTCTTCACTGATGAAGAGATAATGCTTTTGAAAATGAGTCATACCGCAGAGCAATACCGGTCTTTTGGAACATTCATTTTGGTAACTTTCTTTTGTGTTCTTTATGTAGCTAAGAAAACAGTTGTATGTCACATATAGAGAACACAAAGGTAGAGTATGGAAAGTAGAATTTTGTGTAAAAATATTTAAAATTTTGCAAACTCCGGTTAATTGAGATGGCTTTAAGTAACAGCGATTCTAAGAGCTGGTAGGACTCTCAGTGCAAACTTAGCCTTCTTAGACTGTGCCTTGCCTGGTGGAATCTACCTCCGTCTGTAAGGGAGCATTTACAGTTCCCAGAACCTAGGAGTATCTTTATCTTCCATTCCTGTCTCTCTTGTAACACTAAAATATTTCATGAGTTTACCTCACAACTTTGGATTGTTAAAATACTGTTTTATTTGTTTCTAATGATAATAATTATAACTCCTCTACTTAAGGCTTACATGTGCCATATGTTATAATATATGAACATAGATCCGTTGACTTATCTTCACAACTGTCCCAGAGGTTCACGTACATATGTAATTATAGCGGCCCACAAAGTCTATATAGAGTTTCAACATTTCGAGAAAATATGGATTGGGAAAACCTCCTGATTTCAAGCATGTGAATGTCTGCATGTGCATTTCCCATTATACACATAGAAAATCATTGCACCTCATCAAACTAATGGTCAGTATGTGTTTTAGAGGGAAAGCTTATGATAAGCACAAACATTCTTCTCACTTGAGAGAAACAATATAGTATGCTCTTCAGTAGGAGGAATCAGAGAGTCAAGTAAGGGACCCACTTTGTAACAGTAAAATGCACGTTATGTGTATATACATATGAAGATACTGTACAGAGAATGAAAGTGCATTATTAGTATAAGTTTAAAAATTTGATGAAATCATCTAGAGTTTATAAGAAATAGTTCCTCTTAAAATTTATACTTTCACAAAATTTCAAGTCATTGGGTGATCATTTTCTGCCTTTCAACATCAATATAACCAGTTCCCTCCTTTGCTTTTTCTGTTGGTGGTATTTCTAAATTCAACATCACCAGACTCTGAGGAAAGACCCTGTGAAATGCTACCTGTAAACGTTCCTGCTTAATAGTGCTAGGGGGCAGTGTTTACTTAGTTGTTTCTACAGACAAGCACTGTCAAATCAGACATACATAATTTATGTTCTGGAGAAAATACTTAGAGCACATATGATTTCATCTGTTTCTAGTTTCCAACTTTAAATTAGGGAAGAGATAATAATATCTCTAACTTAATGAAACTATATATGTTTTTATATTTGTAATCAAGTATGTTCAATATTTAGTTCCTTTTTGAAAAAAACCTTGCCTAGTATTCAAAATTATCTTATTTTTCTGTCTTCCTTCCATATTAAGTGGTATGATGAAGCAGTGTCAGTATCTTGAGAAACTAAGATGAAAATATCAATAAAGATTTTAAAGGAACTATAGATAGAATAAAAGGTATTGCATTCTAGCAGATCACAATTTTACTTATCTGATCTTAATTGGTTAGAGGTAAGTACTGCTGGTGGCCACCTAGGAGTGGTTCTACATTGTATTA